TTGTTAAGAGATTTTCCCCCACCTCCAGACAACTTGCTAACCTCAACCTGAGCTAGCACTGGAGAGGAAAGCGGGCATACGAAGGAAGAAGTGGAGAATTGGAGACCTAATCCTTTGTGTTTCTTTAGAAACATTTTGGAAATATTCTCCCTTAGCATTACCAGATGGTAAGAAAGGGAGAGGAATTCACTTGAGGAACACTCTTCCTAGAGGAGCTGGCAAGTTAACCAGCACTTCTGTACAAGGAGGCAGGGATGCTCAGTACGCAGCACCACTCAGTCCTCTTTCTATGGCCTGGAGCCAGGGTGGCGGCACACTGTTTTAGGGAGCGGGGCAAACATAGCTTTAACAGTTGCCCGTACCTCCTAGTGAATAATAAAGCCCAGGAATCCTGTGTGCCCACTCTCACTCATCCTGTGGGTGGTATCATGCTTTCCACTGCTCAGAGTGAAACCCCAGGATGTTAAATAATTGTCCTTCTAATCAAGAAGAGGACTTCTTAAAGACACAGCTCACTTCATGCAGATTTCAGAGGAGGGACCTGTCTGTCGGGGTGGAGCTCACGCTCTGCCTTGTGACTCAGGAATTCTAATGGAAAGCTCAGAATTGCCCTCACTTTTTCCCTTCCCTCAGCTGTAAAGCAAGTGATGACCCAAGGTAGGCCGTCCTTCCTCCTGGCAGGGCAGGAAAACACACAGTTCTGCCTGTGGCAAAAGGTTTCAACACCGAGAAAAATGCCAGCCCATCTCTTACCTTAGCCCTGCATATGCTGAAGCCAGCAGTATAAGACTGGCCAGGGAGAGGACACGTTTCCTAATTCCAGAAATTATTTTGCATTCAAAACTATCTGCTGGTCAACTAGCAATTCAGGCCAGCAACGTAACGTAACGCCAGGTTTCCTGACTATTCCAGCACCAAATAAACACAATTGCTCCTGACAGCTCTAACACGAACCAAGTGTGGGTCACAAGTGGGCAGAGATGGGATTCCTTTCATGCGTTTTTTCAGGTAAAGTTGTTCATAATCCTGCTGTTGCTGAAAACTCCCCTAAACTCTGACACCACCACACAGATGCCTTCAGCATTAATAAATCTCTCCCACCAAGAGACACAGTGTCAAGAGAATATCAACAGTCAAGCACTGTAAAAATGTGCTTTCTTCAACTAGCTTTTCCAGCACTGACCTTCACACAGTATAGCTCTAGTTCTGTCTCATGCAGGACTCATTTTTTCTTAGTTGAACAAAGTTTAACATTTTTGGAAGCAGATGGGTCTCACAGGAATTAAGTCCAGGCTGAAGTGACGGGACTGAACTGAGGAGTATGGTATTCTTGGGCAAGGACTGAATCCCTGAAGAGCATGAATGAATTGCAGATCAAATCTGGTGTGTTTGGTGATAATTTAATGTGGAGCTTTAGATTGGTAGATTGCATTGGATATGTGACACAGCAGCTCTAGCTAGTATTGGCTCACAGTGAAATGCCACCTATTTGTCCTGTTTGCAAGTGAATGAATTGTGTCATGCTAGTCCTGGCTATCCCTGCCATAAGAAAAGATGTCCTGCTCTGTTCCCATTCCTGTGCCCCAGGTACAGTATGATTTTGGTTATGCAAATGAAACAGGTTTAGTGAATGAGTTAAGAACTGACCTCCTTTCACTGGTAAAACCCCCTGACACGTCAGACTCACGCCTGATCTCGCAGATGCGTTTGTTTTGGTGGGCAGGATTACCTGCAGCCCCATCTGACCCTTCCTATTCTGGAACAGACACCTTAAAAAATATCCCCAGTGCCTGCACAAAGCAAGAAGGTATCTCTGGACCCCTCTGCATTTGCTCTCCAGACCAGTCAGTTCTGCCAGGCACTGCCTGGGACTTTGAGCAACTTCTCTTTTGTTTAGTCTAGTTTAAAAGAACTTATCAATCAATCATAAAATGAATTTTTTGGTTTCTCCTGGCTCCATGAACACAAAGAGGTGCACGTCCTACCATAGGAGGAAGCAATGGCTGTTAAGTTTTACAGTTATAGTGGAAAGCACTGATCACAGCCTGCCGGCCTCACTACTGGATGTGACAGGCAGTGGAGGAGGTGGCTTGGCAACACATGCAGGTAGGGTTGACTGATTTAGGGGGGATTAGGTCGAGGTCCTCGTCATCTGGGATCTCATCTAACCGGTACCCATCCTTTAGCAGCTGGATGTTCAAGTCTTGGTTGATCTGCTATAGACAAAGAGACAAACAGTCAAACACTTGAGACTTCTTACTTCTGATGGTCAGAAGATGAGTGAGGTCCCTTATTCTGGGATATATTTCCCCATCATTAGCAGTTGCCCCACCAATGAAAGGGTCCCAGGTTTTGATCACAGGTGAGGGCTGTTTTCTGTCCTAGCTTCTTCCAGAACAGGAATATCTAGAGTGAGACATTCCAGAGTAGCAAGTTGATACACTATTTTATTCTGGAATAATCTTCCCATTAAGACAACCCCTCATTTAAATATAATAATAATGTTAATAAACCAACTGGCAGCTGGGCAGTCCCTCCTCTCAGTCTGGGGCACATTATAGCAGTTAAAAGGTGGTAAAGCCTCTTGTCTCTTTGTAATCTCAGACCCAAGTGCTGTCTAACCAGATGTGAGTGAAAAACACTTCATCAAGGCCCAGAGACGGTCCAGATCATTTGATCTGGTCCCTGCTCTTGGCCGTTTCTCTGTGTTTCAGACATATTTTGCCCAGAGAAAGGATACAAGGGGCAAGAGTTCCCAGCAGCTTGTGTACAGAATGGCTGCTTGGCACCCTGGATGTAAAATCAGATCCTGCAGAAGCAGTACACAAAGGCTGAGCAGCTAATTCAGGACAGAGGTTGGGAATATGTTCAGAAACAATGCAGAGGGCTTAACAAGCCTGAGCTTCCTGCCTTTTCTCTTTGAAAGGGCAAGAGTTCATATCTGCAAGTCCTCCCTGGAATTTCTGCCTGCTCCAAGTAAACATGCACTGGGTGACCCTGTCCACCCCAAGAACTGGAAATCACAGCACACCCTCAGATTCTTTATGTGTGTCCTTGGCAAGCATACGGCTGCTGAGCTGGTGTGACAGACAAGTTGATGCTTTTGCACCACATGGGCCGACACTGCAGGACTAAGAAGAACTGTGAAAAGCTTGAGTGAAGCCAAAGGTAGCTGTGAAAACAGCCAACAAGCAGATCTCTGTGCTACAGCAGTGTGGAGATGGAGCCAACTAGATCACCAGGGAAGAAAGAAACATGACACAGTTTCTGCCATGGCCCCTTCCAGACTCACAGAGTCTACACCACTGGTAAATTCATTGTATAGCCATTTCTGGCAGTACAAGGCCACTCTAAGCTGTTTCTCGCTTCTCTACTATTAGCATTCATGGCAAGGATGGCAGGAGAGCGTATAACTCACCTCAGCTGATGAGTATCCCGAGGAGGAATATCTGGACATGTCAAAGTCATCATCACTGCAGGGGAGGACAAGATATAGCAAAGAGGGAAATGGTTAGAGAGACCTCTATTCCCTGGTTAGCCCTATATTTCTCGTGCTGTGAAACAGTCCTTGAGGCACAGAGAAGTTACATCAAGGGAGCCTGGACCTTCGTCTGTGACCCTCAGATCTTTCCATCACAGTGCTCTTTACTCACATCTCTTCCTACTTCTTTACACACACAGACCAGTTATGGCATACGTCAAAGGGCACAGCAAGGAAGAGTGTGAGTGGCCTGCAAGAGTGGTTTCAGCAAGTGCTGCACTCTGGCATGAAAACTCACTTGCACCGTAAAGTATATCATCTTATTAACCCTTTACATACCTGTCCGTATCCAGGGCTACCAGTGGCTTTTCGTCTGGACTCTGATCTAATGACGAATAGCCCTTATTGGGAACGACGAGCCTGAAATAATTAAATGTTGTCCGTTAACCACACAGTAAAGCTCAGCACCACACATAGTCTAGGGAAAAGCTATATGATAGTTAGGCTTTCCACGTTTCACTTCCTTGCAAGCCCTCCCTCATCGGTGAAGATGTTTAAATGGGTGCAATTCAGAGGAAGCGAGCTGTATCTCTGGGTAGCTTAGAGCAGTTTCACAGGGATGAACACTGGATATGCCTTGGGAACATGCTCCTCCCTGGAAGGAAAAAAAGTTGGGACACTCCATGCTTCATTCTGGTGAACCTGTTCGGCTAGCACTGCTTGTCGTATCAGATGTTTGCTCATTTTTGTGTTGTCTTTTTTCCCTAGCAATGAGTACTTGACACTAGCAATAAATAAATAGAAGAAGGAGGTTGGGAGAAGGCAAAGGCTTAGTGCTTCTACTATTCTACTACTGAAAGTCAGGGATGTGTTCCTTCTGCCTGAGTCCTTACCCAGCCTCCCCCAACACAACACTTCTGGGATCTCAGTCCTAAGTTTAGTAATATGAGAAATGTAAGCTGGTGGGTGCAGCATAAGAGCCCAGACAGACTAGCACTTTTTAAATCCCATTATTTTATAATGACTTTCACTTCATCAGAAGTGTTACAAAGGCTGATGATGACTTTGCACCTTTAATTGCCTGAGAGTGTTTGTGAAATGGAATACAGGCTTCAGAGCTTCTAGGATAAGGAAAATGCATTAATACAACAGTCTCTAGTTCACAACAGAGTTCTTTCATCCACAAAACTGCACAAAGACTTTGGTTCATACTTAAAATAAGATCAACCAAACTGAGCAAATGGAGTAAGATTCTACGATCAGCAAGTGGGAACCGTAAGAGTGATGAAAATCTCCTTGTTCAGTGAGTTAACTAGTTTTCTCCCAAATGAAGAACTGTCTTTGACAACACACAATGATGCACAATGATGCTTCACTAAGAATCTGGGAAATATAAATCTAAAGATGATAATCCATCACATCGATCCTCCAACTGCTCTCTAAGTACCTGAAATGTTTTTCTGCTTCTGCTCTGAAAATTTCAGGAAGCCATTACAATTTTAGCAATACTAAGGCCTGCCAGGCACTGAAGATTGGCAGGCTCAGGGAGAGTAAGATATATCAAATGTTATCACAAAGCAGATATATAGGTTCACGACTAGTTGTATTTTCTTATTATGTTCACTGAAACACAAGATGAAAGAAATTAATTTTAAAACTGATGCAGAATTTCCAACCTACTGCACCAGGGGACTGGAGAAAATGGGATCCACTTGCAAAGTTCAATACCCCTTCTCACAGCACTGGGATGGTCCTTCTGCTCCTGAAGCATGGAGGAAGGAAGTCAAGAAGCAAAGATTCCTGGAACTGTGATCTGGCAGCAGCAGTTTGCCCATACAGATATCAGAAGTACTGACTTGCACTCACACTCTCCAGTTTCCAAGTCCCTGCTCCATATATACTGACACTGACAGTTGTTGCTGTATCGTGAGTGAACAAAGTACTATCAGCGGATCTAGGAGAAAAACGCTTTGTGGTGCTATTTGCTTAATTTAAAAAAAACCCCACTATATCTTTCTCTTGAGAAATGTCTTTTTGCTTAATAAGACAGATCTACAACAGACAAAAACTGTGATAATGTCTCTGCCCCTGATCTAAGTCTCCCTCACATCCTGATTGCCCTTATTTTTGCTTCCCATTGTCCTTGGAACAAACCCAGGTAGCAGTCATAGCTGCTTTTATCTGCAGCTGTCCCAGTATGAGCTTCTTGTCTTGGTGCTTTTGCTTGCTTAACATGAAATATGTTATGAACATAAATCTGAGTTTAGGTTATCCTCAGAGTGGACTGCAATATCTGGCTCTGCCCAAGTGGTGCAGATTGTGTTGTGGGCTCTGACAGTGCTTGTAGCAAGTGTGCCAGCACCACCCCAACCTTGTTCACATTTTATTTGCTCTTAGGGAGACTGAGCGTGTTATGGATCCAGACCCTTTCACCTCTAAGGCTGGCTGTGCCCCTGCCTCAGGAGAAGACCGACTGGTGAAGGCAGTCTGGTACTAGAGGCTGGATGTCAGAAATTCATATAGATAATACAGAAGAATAGAAGCCTTGGGGAAGGTGGAGGAGGTGGAGTAGAGACTAGGAGAGGCAATGTGGTTCTCCTGAATGAAGGAAAACATATTTGATGGACAGATGGACATATGAAAACGTATCTGCCAGGACAGCAGAACTGTTTAAAAAGGGGAAATGGCTTTAGCTTATTCTCCTTGTGCAGAGACCAGAGGAAGCCAACAGTTCAGAAGAGTTAAACCATAACCTGGACGTTTTGCAGTGTATCCCACTGCAGTATCTCCCATTATACTGCAACCATTATACTGTGAAAAGAAGCTGCTTGAACAAGCTTGGGGAATTTCTGCCTTCCTGGGGTAGCAAGACAGACTGAACCATTCTGAGGTATTACTAAGGGCTGCGCTCATGGTGCACCTTGGTTCCCAGAAAGCCAAGGGAGCTGGGGGATGAAGGGACTTGGGCTGGCGAGACCCTGTGCCAGACATTTCCCAGCCACAGGGGAACAACGGAGCTTGGCTACATCTGCTATTAAAAAGGATTGACTCCAAACCTCTCTTCTGCAGACTCCAAGGGATGCTTCCAAAAGCTGTGTGAAAAGTAACTAAGAAAAGCAAGTCTACTGCCAGCAGGCTATGCTTGGCTGTGGAGGCGTCCACATGTCCTCTGAACAGTGCTCAGAAGTCCACAAATGGAATAAAACCGAGCTGGCTGTTTGAAAGCTTTTGTCAATAGGTGTCACTGCTCTGCTGTTCCCCACTCAAATCACTCTTCATCAGCAGCTCGGAAACAACAACAATCAAGCAGAAGTCACTAATTTTACAGGTAGGCACCTGTACTTATCCTATCTTCTCTCCCTTACCATCTCCTCTGCTAACTTCAATGTTTCTAAATCTCTCAAGTAGCAATCTGCTACCATTCCTCTCAGAAAGCTAGCATGCAGCCTATTGCCAAAAGAAACCCAAGTCTTTCCAGATTGTATTTGGAAGACAAGGGGGAACAGTGGACATGGAAAACCCAGCTGAGAGGATTTGCTGAATTTCTTGCTACCACAAAGGGCCTGGCTCCTTTATATGGTCTCAACAACCAAACACAGAGCAGGGCGCAATGCAGCGTATTCCACCAACACTGCAGGAGTTTATAAATAAAACTTGACAAAGTCCTGGCATGATTTATGACTACTGTTTTGGAGTTTGGGAAATAATATGAACAAGGAACCTCATCTGTTGGATGTGTTGCATATAGAGAGGCTCTGACCTGCAGCTCCTGTTCTACTTAATATATGGTAATCCATTCAACTTTCCCATTCATCAGTAAACACTCAGCATTCATGCAGATTCTTCTGTCATTTTAAGTGATGGCCTCCACTAAAAACTGCCACCTTTCTGGTAGCATGCAAAGTGTGCAGTCCCATGGGCTCAGAGGCATTCCTACCTCCTGAATGCAGGTAAGTAATACATTGGTGTACTGAAGCTTGCATCGAAGAAATAGAAATACTCTAAAAGAAAGTATTCAGCCAGGAACATCTTTGTTTACGGCAGTTTGCAGCACTGTTTGATACTGTCACACACAGATGTGCCAAAGCAGCTCCAGTAAAGTATGACCATGCTGTTAAAAGTGCAGAGGAGGTGTATAGCAAAGCATACGGAGATGAATTATTTACAAGCCTTCATTAAGTCAATCAGTGAGGGGAAAGGGTCATCATCAAAAAGGAACAGGGGAACTACTGCAATAAAAGCAGCCAAGGCAGAACTAAGCTCCCACTGGCAGGATTATGTGTTACATGAGGCTACCCAGAACATGCAAGACGGCCATATCAACCCCCTGATTTTGTCCAGGCTGGGATGCCTCTGCCTCCTGCAAGCTGCACTGTCCTGCGTTCTCACTGGTCCTGGGCTCAGCTGTCCCTGCACCTCCCCAGGGGATGTGATGCAATACGGCACAGAGCATTTGGGCCTGCCAGCTCCAGGAAGGGCCATCACTGCATTTGCAGCATGTTTGGCAGTAGTGAATGGCAATGAACATTGTCTTTGCCCATCCTAAGGCCATTAGGGATTGCAGCTTAGAGCACAGCTGAGTGCTTTTCCAGTCCTTTACCTTGTTCGTGCCATGACGTTGTTCTTCTTGGGCTGCTGATTAACTGGGCTTCCCATGTTGCCGTTCTTCAGGGAGCCCTTCCGAGCCAGCTCCCTCTGCTTCTCTGCATATGGGATACAAAGGGGAAAAGCAAAATTAGGCAACAGCCTGGCTGGCCACCATACAGCTGTAGAAACCCAGATTTGATAGTGGTAAAAGGCATAGCAGAATTAATAGCGAAGGACATAAGCTCTCCATCTCCTAAGGAGAGACACTGTATAGGCTGGACAAGCTGTGTCCCATTGCCTCCAAGGTCCCCAGGGGCTAAAACTAATGTACCCTTACTCACAGCAGCTTGTTGATAATGCCACACTAAGATGGTCAGGGAGCTTCTGGATGAGACCCTGCTGCGGCAGAGAAACTTGTCTCTACCTGCACCTGGCTGCTGCATGGACCCTAAGACTGTGCTTTGTGGCAGGCAAGGGAATTTATCCTTCTACCTTTTCTCCTCCTATTGAGGCTGCTGCTGAGGGGCCCAGTGGGGATAGAAAAGTGTGTCCCTCAAAGCAGCACCATCATTTAGTGTTAGTCCAGCCTAGCTTGACACCAAGCCTGAGTTATTACTGTTTCCTTAGATGTCAACTCACCAGACTAACACACCCTACAGCAGAAAGTGTTGCTGCCTTCCCTGCTTCTCCTCCTGGCAATCTATCGTGTCCCCCATGTGTCTTTCTCTTTTCTCTCACATTGATTCTTGAGAGCTTGCTTTCTTTATTCAAATAATGAAAAAAAAGAAATATTTTGCAGCTGTATTTTTAAACAGCATATTATTTGCTTAAATTTTTAGAGCATGTTCTACTTGCTGCTGAAATGTACCTTAAAATGCAGACAATATGTCAAGCTTTCTTTATGAATTCAGTGCAAGAGGGGATTTAAAATAGTTTCTCCTTTAGGAAAGACTATTTCTCTTTAATAACCTACAGGATCAGAACTAGAATTCAGGTCCTAAAGCTAAGTCTTCTACAGGTGTGTAATGTCTGTGATGTATCAATACAGCCTCCAGCAGGGACAGGAGCCCATGGATGATGGGTTTTCATATAAATTGACATTCAGTTTTCTGATTCAAAGCCCTTCCTTGTTTCTTGTGGGAAATCAGTTGGGTTGAGTTAGCAATCAGCTGCAGAACTTGACCTAACTGCCCGTCTCACCCTGGAACACCAGGCAAGACTTGTAGGGAAAAAAAATGGGACCAGTAAGGTAGGAAAGGGATTGGTTAAAAACTTCCTCCAAAGTGTGAGAAAATGTTGGGAACTGTTTTTGTGGTATGCCTGAATAATAGGGGTTTATCAGACTGCTTGCTGGGGAACCTGAATAGTGAATTCATTTTGCCTCTGCTTCCCCTGTGGTTTGTGAAATGTGCTGACATATTTTTTCTCGTACAGACTTTATTCCCTGTGGAGGGAAAAGCACCTTTTCTCACTTGTTGTGGAAAAGCAGCGTGCCTACCACAGTGTACAAGTGCAAGGTGGGCCAACTCCATCCTTTCCACGCAGGTAAGGGCAGGGGAACACATGTCTAAGGCTGCCTTTTTTGAGGGACAAATAAGCAGCAGAGAGGCCTAGAGATCGTGATGATGAGTGTGGCTGAGAAACCTGCAGAGAAGAATACATACTCCTACAAACCATGCCCAGCCCTGCTCCTGCTGACAGCAGAGGTCAATAAATGCTCATTGAACTTGGCAGGAGAAGGATCGGACTAATAACTCTCTCTGGCATGAGCAACAAAGACACTGATACAGGATCAAAGTCAAAACCTTAAATCAGAGTAACTTCTCAGCACTGGAACTTGCAAATGCATTGGTTATATCTGTCTCCAAAATAAAAGGCTTGTATTTTGCAGGCCATGTGAATTTTGCTATTCAGGCACAGAGATAAAGAGATGTTTTATGGAGGCAAATGTTTACAACCCTGAATTCAACCCAACTTCCACCCATCTACACCAGAAACTCCAGCGCTTACCGCAAATACATAGTGCTGATAGAAGCTGCCAATACTTTAAGAGACTGTATAATTCACAAAAGGTACCTGACTCAGAAGCAAGGTTAGAGGTTTCATCTTCTGTCAAGGCAGTTAAGGCCTGCCTGAGCCTTTGAAATGCGCTGGCGCTCTCTGCTTTCTATCGATTGCTCGCTACAAGCACTAATGCTCTTCTCCAACTCAGATTACTCATTTGACTGATGAATCTGGACTTCCGCTAAGTGTCTTGTTCCTCCAGTACATCTCTCCATGACTATTTCTATGCTATTACTGAGTTCTATAGCAACCCGTGGGTATGAACGATGCGAGATTTCCTATCTAACTGCTTCTTTTACTTATTTAGCGGCTTGGAGTGAACAATCCCAATGCAATGTAAGTGTGGTCGGAACACCAATGCCTGTGCTCCCAGTCATATTTCTTCAGCATGAATCAACAGTTCATCTCCCTCTTGGATGCTATGAATTTTCATACACAGGATTACAGAATCCTACAGAATTGATTTCATTGGAAGAGACCTCTGGCATCATCAAGCCCAAGCTTTGCCCTAACACAACCCTGTCAACTAGACCATGGCACTAAGTGCCACGTCCAGTCTTTTCTTAAACACCTTGAGGGATAGCGACTCCACCACCTCCCTGGGCAGCCCATCCCAATGCCTAACGACCCTTTCTATGAAGAAATGTCTCCTCATTTCTAGCCTGAACTTCCCCTGGTGCAGTTTCAGACTATGCCCTCCTGTTCTATTGCTCTTTATTTGGGAAAAGAGACTGACCCCCACC